TTAAACGGTAACTGTAACGGAATACAGTTACTCATATTTTGTATTTTAAATACGTAACGGCGGTACACGTATTCCGTTACTCCCCAACACTGGTTACAGCAGAGTGCATGCTCATCTCAGCCTATCAGGCTGATCTTCAACAGGTAACAAAGCCAGCAATGAGCCGGCTTGTGCCACTGTAGCCACCTTCTGCCTATAAATGCTTCTTAAGTAGAATCACTGTGGCGATCGCTTTGAAGTGACTTTGGCTGGTTTTCTGTTGCTTTGTGTTGTTGTCTTTGTGTTCACACAAAACACTAAAAGAAAGATCACATGTGCCATCATTAGGATAGGGATTTGTGTCAGTGTGTGAGTGATTATGCATTCCAGGTCATGTAATCCAAAAGTAATGTAACAAGTACTGCTTTCTGTGAGTAATTCAGTAACATACTCCACTACTTTTAAGACGTAATGTGTAATACAATCGTTTTTTATTGGAGTACATGCTCCAAGAGTGACTGTAATCTAGATTAAAGTATTAGAGATACAACAATGAAAACAATGAAAACAAAGAAAAGCTTCCATGGTTTTTAAAAGAAGACTTGAAATGCGCAGCAGAAAACATGCCTGACAGCTCATCTTCCCAAATATATAAAAAATAAAAGACATTTCTTTTGAAATTGACCTGAAGAGACTGCAATCTGACCTGGGAACAACTAGATCCCCAGAACGATCGCAGTAATCGATCACAGCCATGTCATTTTTACGGCACACGGTCTAATCAGATTAATGAATGTTTCAGCCGAGTCAAAGCTCTGTGTATAAGCTTGAGCACCAAATAAGGCAGATTTCTGTTTGCCTCCTCAAAGCGAAGCCATATTTGACTTCTCTCGGCATTGTTGTTCCCAGAAAGAATTTCAGCCTGAACGTTTCTCCTTCAGCAGCAAGGCAGCAGCTGGTGCTCTCCTGTCAGCTGCTACACCTGCTGAACGGCACAAAGGGTGCAGTATTGCCGAGGGCTTTCACCACACGCCTCAGATTCTCGGAGTGCTTCAGTAACCCGAGTCGCCTCACCACGCCCTCTGCCGGGAACTGCACACTCTTTTCCAAAAGTGTATGCAATCTTTGTGGCCACTCTAACATATGAGTGTTGAAGTAACGAGTACCTATTTAATTAGGTGCAAATTAAATGTGGGTCAGTCTTTGTAACCTTCCCACTGCAGGACCCAGCACAGGTTCATTTTCAGGGAAAACAATGTGTGTCTTCAACTCGCTTTGTTGAAAAGTTGAAAACGCTGCACTGGATTAAATTGAGGCAGCAAAGCAAGTCTTCATCATGACCACCGCCAGTGGCAGAAAGAGTCAGATGGCCTTAGCTGACCCTGAACTAACCCTCTCTCACCCTCAAAACAGCGGTCAAAAGGTCAAAGAGGCCACTTCACATGAAGAGCTGACGGCCGACTGCAGATATGTGAATGTGTCGTTTAAATGATGTAATCATT